GCTCAGCACGTTTTCACCCGAAACGAGGGAGGAATACTCGTGGATTGCGTCAACATGAATATAATATAAAGGCTAACGGGCTGCAGTACAACGATTTTCATCCGTCCTCATCTGGAAGAGATCGAAAAACGAATCTCTTCTTCATCTACTTTCATTCGAAAAGAAGGTTTCCCTAACAATGTTATCTCAGGAGATTTATCGAAACCAAGTTTCTCTTCGTATCTATATTAGAGTAGTTTAAGAGACGATAAGTAATTTTTGACTAAATATTTTTTTGTATGAGATGTATTCACCATATTTTGTCCACTCTTGATGAGAACAACATTTGGGAAAGCAAGGCTATGTGAAATTCAACGGAAGCGTCAGATCTACTCACATAATTGTTGGGAAATTTGACTACCAGTCGTTCATCACGACGCTCGCGACTCGTTTTCGAATTGCATTTGTGGTGTCGATGTGACCCAGGGGAGGTCAAAGCTGCAGATCTGTCCAGTCTGGATAAGAAAACGCTTCAAGAAGCAAAGTCAAGAGAAATTCGATAGCGTCGTGAAGCACAAATATGTTGGTACTTGAATAACTCCATCATCAGTCCACAAGTCATATTATGCAACCTAAATAGATTTCCAAACTAACAGTAAACCTTAAATGAGAGCTGTATCCATCCTAGGTCGCATAAATGATGAAGGAGTGATAGTTGATTTTTCCCACGATAGCATAAATGGACCACAAAGTTCCCGGGAATGCCGGCGAAATTTGAGGTCTTTTGATGGGACTGTGAGAAAATTCCACCATCAGTCCTTCATCATCGTATACAAATTAGGCTGAATACAGCTCTCATTCTGAGACGAGCAAGTTCATAGAAATGGAAGAGAATGCCATACGAAGCCCATTATTCCAAGCTTCCTAGACAATATTAAAAAGTTGTAAAAACTAAATCATACAGATTTATTACGAAGAAGGGAGTAATATGATTTTCAGCAAAGGTTGTTCATTAAATCGGCCGTAAAAGCAAATGGCAAACTGGAAAATGTAATTTTCAATGTGAATAGGTTTAGAGACCATGTCTTCATTGTACAAAATCCAAATTAGCACAAGCCGATATGCTCAGTGCAAAATACGCTAACTTTAGGTCTTAAGATATGCGAGAGAATGAGGTTTGAAGGGAGAGCAACGGATAACTCTAGGCCTCGGAGATGATCTAGCCGGAAAAAAAGTAAAACTAGGATTTATATGTGAAAAATCTACCGTTTGAGCAGATTGAATGCAGGCGACTTTGACCGTCTCATCCTGGCTTGCATTCGACCCTCGTTCATGCAACTGTCAGCTGTATCCTTCATTCTCGTCTCGGTATCACTTTCGCGACCCTTTTTTTGTGTCTCCAAGACTCTGTCTCTATTCCCCTCGGCCGTTTCTTCCCCGAGGTCGACACTTTTATTTCGTCTTTGTCTTGCTTTTGTCTCCTCCGGCCTTGATCCTGTCGACTGATCTACAGCCCAATCGAGTGGAGGCTCTGTCGTTACCTTGGCCGACGAAGTGGAGGCCGGTGCAGAACTCGAGTTCTCCAGCTGACGCACCCTCGGAGACAGGTGACGCAACAAGCTGGCCAAACGGTGACGCGTCGATCGGTACCCATTTCCAGGACTCGTAGCGGCCACAGAACCGATCGGATAGTCATCAACGCCTGCCGAGGGTTCAGCATGGCGTCGACGGATCCCGTTTGGCAGATCAACTGGCTCAGTCACTTGACGACGCTGTTGCTGATCGCAAGGCCTACGACGACGACGACGGTGATGGTGATGATGATGCTGTTGTTGCTGATGCTGATTGTGATGATGATCATCTGAATGGTCATTTCGACGTGTCCGAAGTCCACACGATGCCTGACCACCGAGTTTGTCATAGCCAGTCCCGGTGGAGCTGTCTTTGGAAATTGCACCATCGAGGCTCATGTTACCATCGCAGCCGGCATCCTTCACAGCATCAAACGAATCCGGATAGACTTGATTTGTCGGAAGATTCTGGCAAAAGTTCGAGACCGTGCCAGAGTCACGGGACGTCAGACAGCCTGAAAAAAAGTACATATTGTACGGATAGAGTTACAGTTATGCCCTGCTCAAGACAAAGATTATGTGGGTGTTGATATGCAGGAAAATGAAACGCTTAATGAAGGTATGTAGGAAAATTTCAGCAGAAAAGTACCATTTTACGCCGATCCAGCAAAATATTCAACTTTCGTTTGGAATGTGGCGTCTTGGAGACGTGAAAAGATGCCCGCAAATTGTTGTGAGATGTAGTCACCCTATTTCTTTCAAGTTGATGAAGGACTGGTAATAGAATTTTCCCACATGATATGAGTAGAGCTGACTTTTCTATCGAATTTCACATAACATTGCTTTCCCAAAAGTTGTTCTCATTCCGGCACCAGTGGACTGCAGTTACGACCTCGCATCAATCTTATCAACTTGCCCTCACCATCACTTTCTTTGGTGCTATTGTCGATGAATCATATTTCTTTCTGCTATAACAATCGACTACACTACTTATTATTCGTATGTAAGTAGAGTCTCGAGACTACCAGTAAATCAGTCACATGAGATGTATTCACCCTCCCGCTGAAGGTATTGATAAGACCGATGTGAGGTCGAAACTGCAATTCACTTCTGCCTGGATGAGAACCACTTTTGGGAAAGCAAGAATATGTCAAATTCAATGGAAACGTCAGCTCTGCTCATAGCATTGTGGGAAAATTCTTCTACCATTCCTTCATCATCTTAAACGATATTTGGTGAATACATCTCATATTACTGATTTACTGGTAGTCTTGAAGCTCTACTTCCATACGAAAAATGGTGCCCTTACGTCAGCATGCGAACACCCGATTTATAGCACACTATACATCGGATGCTAATATAAAGTAAGTCGAAATAAACTTCACTTTAAGCACAAAGCCTAAACAATAGACATCATCGCCAATTTCAAATTCCTTTCCATAAAGTAAACAAAGCCCTGACTTTGGGGCAACACAATTGTTGGCGATTGGTCAGTTTGGAATACTGAATTCTAGACAACTATTCCTCTGAGCATTGTATGAAGCCATCATTCACATGAGCATATGATAAATGTAACCAGACGATATCTTTCAATGCTAAGTGTTAGAAACTCAACAACATTGTCACTCGATTTTCCATTTTAAAATAAAAAGTTGATATGAAAGAATTCGTGAATTGGTGGCACGGGAAACCGAGGAAGGTTGGTTGGTGTGAAGTGATTTCGATGAAGCTGTGTTAAAGATTTTGTCTTTACCAGCTTAATGGGCATCGTCACAAAGAGAAACCATACTTTACAAAATAGGACAGCAATATAATAGATCATAATATTAAGCTATAATTTCTTGATCTTTTTATATGACAAGGAACTTCTAAGAGAATGGAAATCGTATGCATTTTGTATACTCGAAGAGAAACAAGCGTTTGAAGGATCCTTTGGTGAATAAGGTTAAATGAACTATCCACTTCAAGTGAAAAGTAAGTTGGTCTCGCCTGAAACCGAAGTAGGATTTCATCTGTTTTTGTATTATACCCAATTGTTATATGCACTAAACGGTAATGGTAGGAGCAGTGACAGTGCGCGTCTTGCTGCTATTACTCTTCAACTGTTGACCCATCTGGTCTATCCCTTATTGAGGGTGACTTTCAGACAGTTTCATTCATGACTCGAGAATGGAAATGGGCCCCTTTATAGAGTTTTTTCACTGAAATTTCTCGCTTTTGTCACTCATCCATTGCCTAAAATGTGACTTGGGACCGTTTTTTTAAGTAGGTCTATCGGAATTGACCTTTTTCAGTCAAAGGGGTACAGTTGTACCATCAAATGTTTGCCATCTTTTATAAAATACAGTAGTAATTGCAAGCTTTTATTGCATCACGTCACCTCCTTCCTCTATTTTACATAATCGCATGTTTCCTCCGTATATGCGAATAGAAGTTGGGTTTCGAAGGCTCCTTTAGCG